CTTTCCTCTTTTCTCTTTGCCCACTCACTCGAATGCACACACACTTTGATGGCTGAATCGGAAAGTGCGGCTGCTGCTTAAAACACTGACTGACTGAGTGAGACTTTTCTCTACAGTCAGACTGATTGTTGCACCGCCGCTGATGTTAATACCACACACACACACTTTGGTGTAGACCATTACAGTGTGGAAAGCTGTTTAATGTTGCACAAGGTGACAGCGTTAAAACTGCTGTCGTCGCTGATACTTGATGATTGCTCGAGGATGCTGTTGTGCGAGAGCAGCAAACAACAACCCTTTTCTTCCCCTTTTTCGGCTTCTTTCTCACCACTCTACCATTGCTCAGATGTTAAGACAACCGAAAAAACAAGCGAGAAAAGGAGAGAAGAAGAAGAGGAAACCAGTGTATTAGTAGGGAGAAAAGTACGAAGGGAAAAAGTATACAACTTGGTTCAATTGCTCAAATAATCGCACACAAACAGACAAACAAAAAGAGAGAAAGATAAAAGGAAAAAGAAATTGAAAAAAGGCAACACTCTGAGCACTTGAACATCATTGAGCTCGATTGTCTTTCATTGCACTTGGTTGTTGCCACTACTCCATCATTATCACTCTTCCTGTCCAGAAGTTGCTGCTTCTGCTGCTCTTCACTGACCTCCAAACCGACAAACAAATAGTCAGTCACTGGTCGCCTGCAATGGTCGATCATTGCATTTCTCATTTTTTCAATCTTTCTTTTTTTTCTCAAGGGAAGGCATCCTCTGAGCAGTCAATCAGCCGGAATTGGCAGTGGTGTTCTGAAAGTATGTCAGCAGAGCTGTCTGAAGAATACTGGAAATTGCGCAAAGTGTTTTCGCAGTAGTAGCTCTTTGAGCGCGCCTTTCCTAGTTAGTGCACCAAACAACAGGAAACTGGTTGCCTATTTGTTCAGATTACTACTGCTCATTAGTCGTTCGCTCCGGTTGTTGCTGTTACTGCTGTTTTCGTTCGGACAGAACTTGATTAAGCCTGCTCACTGATCGATGATGATCAAGTTACCGGTTAGAACTGATAGAAAAGCATTTAGAGCATGTGTAAACTTTTTAGTCTTTTGTCTGTTTTTTTCAACGGATTTTAGATATGTAGTGCAACTAGCAGCGGAAACCGGACTACCATTTCTAACCAAGTAAAATGTTGATGCAATGACATTTCCTGATTGAAATTAAGCCACATGGTACAGCAATACAAGCAAAGGTATTTGCCGGTAGAGGATTTTCCCAAACGAAACATACTTGCGCCACTTGTTACCAAAAATGCATTCCAGCAATTCCATTCTATTTGGTGGCAATATTAGAAGTATCATCATCAGCACTCAGTACAGTGTCTTAAATTAGAGATTGTATAACTGTCAACGTCGATATGTGGCATTGTGTCTGCAGTTATCGGTAACAGCAAAATTAATGAAACAACAATTTTGTTGTGGTTGTGTAAATTCCAGTGCTTTGCATTGTGCTGTGTTGTCAATAGTTTTGCTACTTCTCTGATTGCTTAAATTTTTTTCCCTCTTTTTCCACTTGTCAATTATCAGTATTGCCATTGCTAAATTAAAAGTTGTGATAGCGCACAAATCAAAAGTTTATGAAGCAATGCAGCAACATTTCTAAAATATTATCACAAAAAATTTTAGATTGGTTTAATACTTTTTTATTCTTGCAAATAAACATTAATAGAGCAACAAACGAGTATGCTAATAATTAAAAAATGTTTCACAATTTTTGTTTTTTGCTCATATACGAAAAATTGTTACAGTTTAAGTAAAACTTGAATTTGTGTGTCATTTCCGCAAAAACAGGAAATGCCGTTTATGTTTTTATTTTTTATTTATGATTTTAAATAAGTGCACAACGATTTTTAGCAATGACGTTAACTGGTTGTTCCATTAAAGTTAAGGTATCATTGAATAGTGGTGTGTAATAAAAACACTCACTTTTTTAGTAACAAACCTGAGGAACTAATCTGTTTGGCTAAATAAAATATTATTAAGGATAAATTGAAGTGCATCTAGTTGATTTGGCATTTTTGTCAAGATTGTTAAAATTGCTAGAAAAAACAGTAGTGACAATACATTTTTAATGTCAAAATTTTCATTTTGATTGTTTTTAGTTGCAGAATTTATTTGAAAACCAAGAGTTAAAAAAGTTGAAAATTGTTAGCAAAAAATCATTTATTTTCAAACTAATGAGCTTTGCAAATTATTCTTGATATGATTATGAACTGATCAACACTTTTTTTGTAATTTTTTTAGATGAAAGCCAAGTACGACCCTGAGATGTCGACGCAGATTCTAGAATGGATCGCCGAGGTGACGGGCGAGTCGATTAACACCGACGGCTCCGAGGAGAACTTCTACGAGGTGCTGCGCACCGGGGCACTTTTGTGCAAACTGCTGAACACCATCAGCGAAGGCGCCGTGAAGAAGTACAACCCAAACACGACGATGGCTTTTAAGTGCATGGACAACATCAACTCGTTCCTCCTTGGTCTGGACGCCATCGGCGTTCCCGTGGAAGACCGCTTTCAGACGGTCGATCTATGGGAACAGGTTAATCTGCACTCGGTCCAGGTAGAAAAACAAAACCACTTTTTGTGTATTGAAAGTTTCAATTTTAGTAATATTTGTGCTTTACCTCACTCTAGATTTGCCTGCAGGCAATGGGCCGCAAGGCGCCCAAGTTTGGCGTCAAGGGCTTCGGACCAAAGGAGGCAAATGAAAACCGGCGCACCTTTACTGAGGAGCAGCTGAAGCAGGGCGAGACGATCNGCAAGGCGCCCAAGTTTGGCGTCAAGGGCTTCGGACCAAAGGAGGCAAATGAAAACCGGCGCACTTTCACCGAGGAGCAGCTGAAGCAGGGCGAGACGATCATCAACCTGCAGATGGGCTCCAACAAGGGCGCCAGCCAGAGTGGCATGACCTTTGGCAAGAGTACTCGCTTTTAAGTTGGCAACAAGTTTTACTATTTGTTACAAAAAGTGATTAGCTTTTTAAAAATGTCCATCCATCCATCTATCTA